CTTCACAACCTCAGTCAAGGAGTTCCACAGGTTGATTGTGTGCTGCGTGAAGAAGAACTTCCTTGTATTTGTTTTAAACCTGCTGCCTATTAATTTCATTTGGTGACAAGAACTAGGGGTATTATGGGAATAAGTAAATAACTTTTCCTTATCCACTTTCTCCACATCACTCATGATTTTATATACCTCTATCATATCCCCCCTTAGTCTCCTCTTTTCCAAGCTGAAGAGTCCTAGCCTCTTCAATCTCTCCTCATATGGGACCCGTTCCAAACCCCTAATCATTTTAGTTGCCCTTTTCTGAACCTTTTCTAGTGCCAGTATATCTTTTTTTAGATGAGGAGACCACATCTGTACGCAGTATTCGAGATGTGGGCGTACCATGGATTTATATAAGGGCAATAATATATTCTCCTTCTTATTCTCTATCCCCTTTTTAATGATTCCTAACATTCTGTTTGCTTTTTTGACTGCCGCTGCACACTGCGTGGACGTCTTCAGAGAACTATTCACGATGACTCCAAGATCTTTTTCCTGACTTGTTGTAGCTAAATTAGCCCCCATCATATTGTATGTATAGTTGGGGTTATTTTTTCCAATGTGCATTACTTTACATTTATCCACATTAAATTTAATTTGCCATTTTGTTGCCCAATCACTTAGTTTTGTGAGGTCTTTTTGAAGTTCTTTGCAGTCTGCTTTGGTCTTAACTATCTTGAGCAGTTTAGTATAATCTGCAAACTTGCCACCTCACTGTTTACCCCTTTCAGTTTGCCTCCAGATCATTTATGAATAAGTTGAATAGGATTGGTCCTAGGACTGACCTTGGGGAACACCACTAGTTACCCCTCTCCATTCTGAAAATTTACCATTTATTCCTACCCTTTTCCCCTGTCTTTTAACCAGTTCTCAATCCATGAAAGGATCTTCCCTCTTATCCCATGACAACTTACTTTACTTAAGAGCCTTTGGTGAGGGACCTTGTCAAAGGCTTTCTGGAAATCTAAGTACACTATGTCCACTGGATCCCCTTGTCCACATGTTTGTTGACCCCTTCAAACAACTCTAATAGATTAGTAAAACACGATTTCCCTTTTCAGAAATCATGTTGACTTTTGCCCAACAATTTATGTTCTTCTATGTGTCTGACAATTTTATTCTTTACTATTGGTTCAACTAATTTGCCCGGTACTGACGTTAGACTTACCAGTCTGTAATTGCTGGGATCACCTCTAGAGCCCTTTTTAAATATTGGCATTACATTAGCTATCTTCCAGTCATTGGGTACAGAAACTGATTTAAAGGACAGGTTACAAACCATAGTTAATAGTTCTGTAATTTCACAGTTGAGTTCTTTCAGAACTCTTGGGTGAATGCCATCTGGTCCCGGTGACTTTAAGTTTTATCAATTAATTCCAAAACCTCCTCTAGTGACAATCTGTGACAATTCCTCAGATTTGTCACCTACAAAGGACGGCTCAGGTTTGGGAATCTCCCTAACATCCTCAGCCGTGAAGGCTGAAGCAAAGAATCCATTTAGTTTCTCCGCAATGACTTTAGAAGTTGTGAGTACTAACAACAGCAACTGAAGACAAGAGGAGCCATGCTGGAATATATAAAATGCTATATATACACCTCTACCTTGATATAACGGTGTCCTCAGGAGCCAAAAAATCTTACCACGTTATAGGTGAAACTGCATTATATCGAACTTGCTTTGATCCACCGGAGTGCGCGCTCCTCCTCCCACCCGGAGCGCTGCTTTACTGCATTATATCCGAATTCGTGTTATATCGGGTCACGTTATATCGGGGTAGAGGTGGATATATATACCTCTACCCCGATATAACGCGACCCGATATAACATGAATATATACATGTACTAAGTACTTTGAAAAATCAAGCTGCAGATACGTCAAATTGGGCATCCAGAATTAGCGGACACTTTTGACCATAAAATCTCTGTGCCTCAGCTCCCTATCTGCTTCTCATCTCACAAGGCGGGGTGAAGATAAATTAATTAATGTTTGTGAAGCACTCTAGTGATGAGTGCCGTAGAAAAACCCAGAAGGAAATTAATACTTTTGTCTTCAGAGCAGGGTTTGAATAGAGTGCAATAAATAACTCCTGAGGCCAGACATTGAACCATGGGGTTAAAACAAAATACTGTATAGCACCATCCATCCTGTGCACTGAATGAGGCAGGGGCCTATGGAAAAAAATATGTGATTGTGTAATTAAAGACCAGTGGGGACTGAATTAAAGTTGCACAGGCAACTTTCCCACCCTTAGGCTCCCAGTCCCAGTCTCCTTGCCCAATCAGTCCAAAACCCCTGCCACAGTCCCAGCTATTCTAGATTCCCATGTTCCAATGTACTGCTTTCCCTTTCCCAGGTCTGGCTCTTGTCCCCCCTACATTCAAGTCAGGTGACTTCCTCCTCCATGCTGCCTGGGCACTAGATGGGGGCATGGGCGGTGGGTATTATAGGCCAGGCTAAGCCTTCCCTGGCACAGCCACCCCGGAGGGACACCTGGGTCGCAGTGGTCCCACTCCTTCCCTAAGGCCCCACCCACTGCTGCTGCCGCCTACCTACCTGCATTCCATCCCCTTCCCCCACCCCTCCAGGTCCCCGCGCTGCTCGCCGTGTTGCTTCTCCTCGGGGGCGGGGGAGTGAGGAAGGATGCTGCGAGCAAGTGGTGGGCGTGGGGGTCTGGTGGGGGAGTGAAGCGGCTTGGCCAGGTACTGGGGCCGCTGGCTCAGACAGAGGAGGAGGCCGGCTCTGCTCGGCACTCAGGCAGAAGGGGCGGGGCCAGCAGCCTAGCTTCCCCAAAGTGGGGTTCACCTGCCGCCCATAGATGGGTGGTCACAAGAGAGACAGGCTCCCTGCTCTTAATTTAGGTGCCTAAACCCAGGCCCAGCCTGCCCCACAGCAATCAGGAATAGGGTGACCTGATAGCAAGTGTGAAAAATTGAGACAGGGAGTGGGAGGTAATAGGAGCCATATAAAAAAAAAAGCCCCAAATATCGGGACTGACCCTATAAAATCGGGACATCTGGTCACCTTAATCAGGAATGGCAATGATGAGGCAAGTCTGGCTTTTCTCTAGCCCTGGGTGGAGCATGCTCCGTCGCTCTGAGGGGATGGTGCATGCTCAGTCTTGGCAGCACTAGGAGCTGTAAGGGGATGCAGCGTACCCAGGGCAGATGGAATCTTAGGAGATTTTAGCCAGTAAACTCAAAGAAGTCCCTACTGAGCATGTGTGAAATGAGATTTTTCAGCTGCTTATATCTTAGCCAAATTTGGACACATTTTCACATGAATAGCAAAAGTCCCTGACACAAAGGTCATCCCCTGACAAATGTCAAATCTTTGCTGTAAATCATGGGCTGCTAGAGCTTCTCAAATAAAAGATCGCCAGGATTTTTTAACATTGCAAACCAATATATTTTTCTTTAGTTTTGTTCTTGGAAACAGTGGAACATTTTGGCTGAAACTTTCCAAAAACAATTCAGCCTGAGGAAGACATCTGACATAAAAAAAATTCTGCTCAAATAGTTAAAGTCTGACAAAGTTATAAGCAACTGAAAAAGTCTTATAATATGAAGTGTTAATAATAGGCAGTGCTACCAGCCACGCCTATAATAAAATAAGTACAGGAAAATCCAATATTTCATAGCTGTTAATCACCTTATGTAGTTCTTGCATTTTCTAATAACATTCTGTGAAAGGCTAGCAGGTGTAGGGATAGAAGGCTAACCTAGCCATTACATATCATTAGCACTTAAATAAATAATAATGTATTTATTCAAATCCTTCTAAAATATTTATTTGTTCTGTGACACCCACTAGAGTGAAAAGAACAGGAGTACTTGTGGCACCTTAGAGACTAACAAATTTATTAGAGCATAAGCTTTCGTGGACTACAGCCCACTTCTTCGGATGCAGTCAACAACAACAACATTTTTAGGCAGTTCCACTCCTGGGTTTCTGGTGCATGTGTAACCATGATCTTTACCAGTTGTTGGCCCAATGGTTGGTGTGTTTTCTGTATCCCACTTCGTGCCTAATCCACAGAGCCAGTGCAATCTCCCGTTGTTCACTTATGCCCAAATTCTGTGAATCAGTGTAAAGACAAGTAAATCTGTGCACTGGTGATCTCCACAGGAGATTGAGGAGAAGAAGAAATTGTGTCTTCTCTGACTGTGAAGTGGCTATAGTAGCCTGGAATACCCTGAAGCTGCAGTAGCCCCTGCACTACTTCTGCATACTCTCTGTGGGGGAAAACAGTTGGTGAATCCACAAATGATGACCCCAAGGAGCTGGGCTCAGCATTGCATAGAAGACGTGCACCACCCAAATGGCCTACCATCTGTGCACAGCAGTTTTTATACAACTTCTGCTGCATATAGCACTTCTGCGCCATGGAAGAGGGGCAATTCAGCTGCTGGAATCACGTCAGGCTCACCTCTAATAATATTATTACATTAAAAAAACATTGTTTCTTGACATGGTGCAAGGTGCAGTAGCTGCAGTCATTTAAGATATGCTTGGAGAATAACAGAAACTTACAAGAAGTAAGTCCTTGCCTAGTTCATCGATATCTGGTACAAAATTTTCAATGGGTTGTGGGGGTCTGGAATTGAAAGCATGTCTTGGAAGGGCAACATCACTAGGCCAGTCTTCTTCTTCCGGGAGCCCAATGACACTGTGTAAGGAACAAGCATACATATTAGCTGGGGGTGAAACAAAAATATGTTACCGCTGTATTTATACAGCCTCATCTTCTTTCATTGTATGAATCCCTAAATCCTGCTTCATATGTTTTCATGGGATTGCCACTTGTTCTTTTGATGCGAGCAGCAGCATTATCCAGGATCACAGGATAATCTATTAAACCATATAAGGCAATTTTTAAAACCTTTATAGACTATACTTCACATGCACAATAAGGGCCAGATAATGCAGCCCTTGGTTGCACTGAGTAGCACCTTTCTCTGTAAGTAATCCCACTGATTTCAATAGGACAGTTTGCAGAGCATTGCATTATTCAATGGGAGTAGGGATGGCAGAACTAGGCCTTAATGATGCATGGTAAAAAATCTTTATGGAGGGAGCTTGGTGGTAGTGCTCTGGCCTGGGTCTCATTCTCCTGAGTCCCTGGATTGGCAAGGTGCTGCAAGTGCTTTGGGAGAAATGTGCTCAGATTTTGGAGGCATGGTGCACCTTATATCACTTGAGAGTGATTGAAAGGAGATTTCACAGAGGAGTTCTACGCGTGCCTCATTTGCCTCAAGGATGATGATCCTGACAGAAGTCTTTAAGGAAAAGACAGCAGAGCATGGGTCAAGGAGGCCATTTCCCAAAATTAAATAACTCAGCTGCTTTAGGATAAAATTTTCTAAAGCACTTAATTGTACGTAGGCTCCTAAGTCACTTTGGTGCTTTTGAAAAATTTACCCCTAATTTTGTTTTATGTTCATCTTATCTATAGTTGGAAAACCAATATTTCTTCTTCTGTTCTGAATATGACACAAAGCTTCTCCTTATGAAATGAGCATTCTAATTTCTAGAAACATGGATAAATGTAAATAGCTGAATTGTTGGGATTTCTTTTAAATGTACCAAAAAACCCCACCACCTTTCTTTTTGGACCATGTCTCTACACAGTCCAAGCTTCAGCCCAGAGTTAATATTTCCGGTAGAGCTATAAAATGGTGAAATAAGGGCTTGTAATGGAAATGCTGACAGAGACCCATTAGCCAGACTTTACATACCAAGTTTTAGCCAAAATCAATTTTACAGCTGAATTTTACACACCTTAAAATAGAGATTTATAATGAAAATGCTGACAGACTCAGAACTATAACACAGAAAAACAAGTTTCCTTAAGAGTTTGGGCTTTCAATTGAAATGCCACCAGGGTGCAGCATTGTCCTTTCTTTTTATTAATAGTGCTTGGTAGTAGACACAGAATGAAAATTAGGACCAAGCATTGCTCTTACTTACTTATAAATCCTGAGTTACTCCATTCAAATCAATGGAATTACTTCAGATTTCTACAGGTATGAGAGCAGAATTTGGCCCTTAGTATTTAAGGTACCTCAACAAACTAATATGTACTAAAAAACAGCAGTGCGGTCAGGAGTGCACCACCACTTAATTCTTGTAGCTATTTCCCCGCAGTATCCACTAGGGTGATCAGATGTCCCGATTTTATAGGGGCAGTCCCAATATTTGGGGTTTTTCTTATATAGGTGCCTCTTACCCCCCACCTCCCATCCCGATTTTTCACATTTTTCTATCTGGTCACCCTAGTATCCACAGACTGCTAAGCTCTTGCCAAAGGGGGAATTAGATCTCTTTGAAAAGTTAAACTTGATTGTTATTATCTATTTATAGGTCACCACTGACATGCAGGGAGCTTTACTTATAAGATGACAAGTCCTGCCCCGAGGGTCTTGCAGTTTAAGACTCTGATCCTGCAAATGCTTAGCCATGTGGGTATCATTACATATGTGCTAGTCCCATTGAACCCAGTGAATACACGCATGTGCATAAGTGATGAAGACCTGAGTCCACATCAGATATAACACAATGGGCAGTGTCCGATGAGGGAGGAGGAGGAGTTTTTAAATGGTAATTAAATATACACGTTCGTTTTCTTTCAAATGTGTCTAGTTAGTTCTGATTTTTCTTTTATGGAGAATATGATTGGGAGTGAGAGCACAAACAGACCAGAGTGGATGCTAGTAGTTGCAAGTTAGCGGCAAGAAGTGAGGAGGCTGCCTGGTGCCCAGGAAAGGGGGGCTGGTTCCAGGCGTAAGGGGTAGCATTAAAAAAAAAAGAGTACAAAAATGGGAGTTGGATTTTTTTCAAGTGGATGTTTACAGATCCTACAAAGCACTTGGAAATTGTTTAATACACCAGCGTCTGCCTGGCAGCCCTAGCGGGTTGCACTACCATTTGGGTGACCGAGATTCTGGAGCATATTGGAGGAAGCTATTTTATCCTCTCGCCATACCAACAGTACAATAGTAGCAGTAAATATTGATAGATTATGGGAGAACCCAAAGGTCCGAGTTCAGACCTGATCCTGAGAGAGGCTGAGCACTTTCCGTTCCCAGTGACTGCAACAGGAGTTGAGTATGTTCAGGACACCCTGGCATCTGGCCTTAAATCTGTGAGCATATACTGTATATTGATGTTGGCATGGGGAAAGGAGGGGAGGGTTATGGGCCATCTCCTAAGGATCTATCCTCAGTCTTTGTGGAGAACTCCAACTAATGTAAATAAAGGCTGCACAGGTGGAGCAAGGTCCAATTATCTGAAAAAATGTCAGTCCAGAATGTAGGAAAATCCTAAAACAACTTAATCCAAATTAGACTAGAGAATGACTCACTACCATAGCAGGCAACAGCTCCCTCATAAAGGCAAGGCCTATGCCTAAATGTTGGGGGTCTCCAGCTGTGAAAACAGAAAATAAACACTATCTGACATAAAAAAGCAAGAAGGAGGCATTTGAAATATTGAAGGATAATTACACAAAAGAGGCAAGGCAGATTTTCTCTTTAAGTGCAGTGTGTAATAGAGAATTTCTGCTCTCTCCTAAAATTGGCACAGTATTTTTTTCTTCCTGATTAATGGTTGAATTCTTTTCCATACAGGTAATCTCACCCACTAGGGAGGGATAGATAGTTCATTGGAGGAGGCTGCTGTTGGCTGCTATGTTTTTAATCCTATTTCAACTCATTTGTTTTGGGGGGTTTTCCTGAAATGTCAAACAATTTAGGATCTTTAAAAAAAAAATCACAACCAGGCTCTTTACGTTATTAAAATATGCTGCATATATCAAAACATTCCTTGTTTAATACAGCAGAATATAAATTAATCAAAGGGATAACTTTGCCAGAACTAGAAAAAGCAAACAGGCGATGACTGATTGTTTTTGGATTGTACAGGAAGGACTATTCACGGGCATGGCAAATTAACCACACTAGTGAGTCACATACACTGGTATGGTATGCAGGAAAGGGAAGTCAACTGAATGAAAATCAAGACCTGCAATTTGGGAACCTCATTTTAAACTATGAAAATCTTCAGAAATGGATGTGTTATAATTTGAGAGCTGGAAAAATGATTAGAGAGACAAATTCATTATTTGACCTACTAGAGTAGCGCTTTCCTTTGAAGCTTTATCATCTTCTCTCTGGAATTTCTGCAGGGCTGTAAGGGGGGACAGTGGTCCCCCCACCCCACCCTCCTCCCCCCTGCTCCTCCCTGCCTACTATTACTACTCATCTTGGCCTCTCCCTCCAACTGGATGCCTGGAACTCTCTCCATAGGAAACGGAGGACAGCTACAGAGGTGAATGAGCCCTCTTTCTGTGCAGGAGTGGGAACAGCCATATGCGTGTCTGGTGGTCATAACCACTCAAATATTATTATAAAACATTTATATTGGGCCTCAAATTTACATGGCATTTTCCAGGACACCGTCAGAAACATTCCTTACTGTGAAGGTATTTTAATCTAAAACAACAGAGAGGTGATTGATATTTTTCTCACTTCTCTGTATCAATGACTTTAAAATGGAGAATTTTTATTCAAAAACATACTTTGGAGGGGGGAGTAATTCTACTTTCAAAAGTTCAGAGTTTGTCTGAAGAGGAACTGCAATACAGAGTTGTAAGATGCTTTTAAAATAAATTACAGTATCCCATCTCTAAGATAGCATCCATTTAATCTCAATACCTTTTATGTTTTCATAGCCTCCTTTATCACCAAAATATGGTTTCTTAATAATCTTCATTGGATATACAGTGAAGCTAAAATATTCCTTTCCACAGAAGTTGTTGATCAATATTAACATTTCCACTTAATAATGAACATTTTTGAGAGATTCTGATTACATTTTTTTGAAATTCACAAATGAACAAAATATTGAATAGCTAAAACTTTATTTGGCTTTGTAAGATGCTTCTTTCTTGAATGCTCTAACTTTTAAGAAAATGTGTGAATGGTGCATGAACCATACATTTAAAAGATTAGAAAAAATCCCCCAGAAGTCTATCATCTTCTTGATGATGATTGTTATTTCTATAAAACTATATTCCACGCACTTTCCTCCTCCCTCTTTGACAGAGAATACACGGAAATATTATATTGCAGTGCAACAGCAATAGGAAATATGTTCTAGGAATACTTTGTTCAAGTCGTTTTGCTCCGTAAAAAACATAGCAAAGAAACTTCAAAGTGTTTCAAGCTAAACTGCCACTGACATAATGCAGCAAATGAGTACTTACTCAAAGATTTTTCCTAGCTGATCAACATCTGAATTTCCACGAAAAAGTGGCCTGAAAGAATAAAGAAATAGAATAAGATTTCTTTAACTAAAGTGAACTTGTACTTGTCACTGAAAGTTTCCAAAACAAACCAAAAACCTGTTATTTTGCTGAATGCTCAGTTGTTACCCCTTCATGTTTTTATCCAGTCTGTAACTGCACTTTTCAAGGTTTCTCCTTGGATTGGTAACAAGACTTTAAGTTAATGGATCAGGCACACATACAGACATGTTACATTTGAGAAATAATTGCATCCTTTAACATGAGTAAAATAACTTTATTTCCTATCCTTTTTTAAGCTATCAGCATAAGAGTAAATCAAACCACTGGTTGATGAAACAATGTTATCCACAATAATTATGTAGGCCACATTCAAAGTGCTGTTTAGAGAGAGTCATGCAATGCATTTTAATAAAATAATAATGATATGTTTTAGAAATCAAATCCCTTGTGTATTCTACTAAAAATGAATCCCTAAGCTCTGGGGTTCAAATAGAAGACAATGGGGTTACACGAATCTGTAAATCATGGGATGTAAAACAGTGCAGAATTTACCTTGAAAGAGAGGAAAGCTTCTGCTGCATAAATAAAGATACATTTAGGAAATAAATTAATAATCCAAGCCTTCAAAGGGTTGTTAGAAACAACAGTGACTAAAAAAATACTCACATTGAAAACTAGTGATATATACCATGTCCTTTTAAAGTGCAATTACAATTTTTGTTCTTCTGTTATTGTAATTTGCAAAATATCATCCCCCTCTAATGGTCCATTTACTAAAAACAATGTGAAAGCGACCGTACAGTAAGAGATTTAACAAACATTTGCGTGATATATTAGCTACCTGTCCCCACAGCACAATAAGGGTGTGATCTGTACCTATGTTTATGCTTAAAATTCTAAAGAGATTTTAAACAGATTAGTAAATCCCGGATAATTTAGGGTCCTGTCCACCAGGAATTTATAGATCTTTCTATGGTGAGCAGGCCGCTGGTAACTATGTAAGGTAGTGTAGCACTTTGGCGCAGCTATAAAAGGGATATAGTGGGAGTAGTCAAAGAAGCACACTGTAGGCAGATTGCAAGAAATGAGATTTTACTGTTGTCAGCTAACAGCCAGGTTGCCTCCCCCTTCAGAACTCTTAACTCCCAGAATGCAATGCATGTTGTAAGCTTACAGTTGCAGTTACCATGACACAACACAGGGTAGCACTTTAACTGAAACACAGAGACTTTATAAACGATGCATATTCTGGTGCCTTCAATAGCAGCACATGATTGAGTTTTCCCCATGACCAGTTCTCCTTCCCCTTCACTTGCCCAACGTATTGCTTTTCTGTCCCCTGACTGAACTCCCCCACAGTGCTACCAGTCAGTGAGATACCAACCATTTAATGGTTTCAGTTTGCCAGAGAAGAACTCCCATCTGCATTAGGAGATAAAGGGACACTTGGCCATATCCTTCCTCCTCCCCAAACCACAGGCACAGAAATGGGAGTAGTCTGCATAGTCCTAAGGATGGTTTAAAAGGCATGTTTCTCCCTGCCTACCAGTTAATTCCTGGAAAGACTGAAGGCACAGTACTTCTTAGAGCTCTCACTGGGGCAATGCAGCTCCATGTCACTGTCTAATTTAGGGTTGTGGATCAATTACACAATCTAGCCTTATACGTCCTCACATATGTGACAGACCCAAGAAACGTAACATCTCTCCTCTAAAACGACTGACCACACAAAATGTCCTGAAAGAAGTCTGTGACACCCAGAAAAACAATAGCAAAGGAATGACTGTAAAATGTGCAGGTCATCTTTCCTGTACTATATGTGCATTCTACTCCCTCATGTTTGCACATCAGCTTAGACTCAGCTGTTTTGGGGAAGGAAATTGAGAGAAGAATCTGACCCAGTTACCCCTGCAGCTGTACTATTCCAAGTTTAAAATGCCTTTTTGTTGACTGTGAAGCATTGTGCACATTTAGGACAGTGGGTCTGAAATAAATAATAAGTAATGGTACGTGTTGTTTTGCACATGTACACCACTGTTTGTTGATTAATTTTGGCCTCTTTTTAATAAGATTGCTTCCGTTTACATTGGATCTTTACTCATTTAGCCTTTCCTGCTTTATGTCATTTCACCGTATCAGCTTCTAAGGAAAAGAAAACATGACTCCAAACAGATATGAACAACTAATCTGCGGTCAGTTATGGGCCTGATTTGCGGAAGTGTTTGAGCATCCATAATTCCACAGAAGTCAGGGGAGGCAGCAGGTCCTTCATGCCTCTGTTCATTTTGACAACTTCAGGTAATTTTTAAGTGACCATTTGAAACTGCTAACGTGCTTCAACCTCCTCCATCACGCTGTGGATTTTCCTCTGGCTCAAAGCATTATAGAGCAGGCCCCTTTAAGCTAAAGAAATGTACGCATTCAAAACGTTCCATCCAAGCAAAAGTAAAGCAGATCCAATGTTTTAAAATGTATTCTCAACCTTGTGTTAATGTGAAAACTTGGCAAATTCAGTCTTGTTCTCAAATCACCTTAGGCAGTGTCATGCCAAAACAAGTATGATTCTTGGGATTTTTAAGAACGACTTTTCCCATAGCTGCTGCTCCCTTGGATTTAGTAAGAGCTGAAGCAAGAATTTAAATTCTTTTGAGAGTGTAACCATAGAACACAACGTGACCTTCCAGCACACTCTGATATTCCACCACAAAGAAGAATTAATTCATTCATCTTTCAAACTCTTATCCATCCCAGAGTCATGACTTCAACAGGGTGCCAGCATTGGGCAACACCAATGGGATGAATTTGCCTCATGAATTTGGGCTGATAGCTCAATACTCCCTGTACACATGACTGGGGAAGTACATTCATTTAATCTGCAGGCACATGAAGACCTGCTGTCTCACATTTTGGCACCATTTACTCTGTAGTAGTGGTGTGCCAGCACAGACTGTATGTGCAAATCCAGTGCACCTTATATGGGAACTCTCATCTCAAGCAATTGTTTTTTAATTCTTTTCTTAAAGGTGGATGTCAGCACTCCCAGTACTGCTGAGTCTGGAGTATACTCCAGCAGCCACAGGAAAAATCAAATTTCATCCCCTGCTTCTTGTATCTTTCACTTGACTTACTCCCCAGGGTTTATTTATTTTATATGAACTGAATCCAGAAGTCCTTAACTCAGAGATACAGTCTCCTTTATGTGAGGGTAGTCTGTGTAAAACAAGTTAAACTCGGGGGGATGGTTCAGTTTACGGAGTTTCCTACTTGCTCTTTTGTGGGGCGAAGGCAAGGGACTGGGTTTGCAACCTGTAGCAGAGTTCCATCCTCTGAACTCATGGATCCTCTAAGAGTTCTGTGCAGATAGGGATCCATAGGAGGCAAGGGCTATCCAACTGGACACCTCTGGCATCCATTATTCCCCCCTCCCCCCTGGACCCTACCAGTTCCCACTGACACTGGTTACTGCAGGAGCAATGCTTGTGGGAGGTCCCCATTCAGAACATATCTAAAAGGCAGGGGGAAGGGCCACGTTCTACAGTGCAGACAAGGCAGAAGTTTATATTTGCACAGCCTCAGGATATCTCAACTTCTGCAGTGTTCTCCATGTTTTGTTTTGATGGGCAGGTTGATTTGGGGACAATCCAGAGCATCTCCAGTGGCTCCCCCACTCCCTCTCCAACTCTTTGGAGCTGGAATGTCACAAAGTCCCGTGTGTGGCATCTGCTGGGTGCAGGGGAAGCATGCCACGGAGTTGGACTCCTCTTTACTGTGGGAGCAGGCTCTCCTCAGTATGTGGATGTGGAGAGGAATAGGAGACACTCAGTTTTGACTCAGTCTTAGTGGAGCGAGGTCCCAGTGAAGTCAAGGACTGAGTGAAAATTGAATAAGAATCTCAGGATTTAGCCTTGAAGTACAGAATGTGCTGATGCCCTATTAAGCGGATATGAGCTATAGGAGTTTGCAATATGGCTTTTTTCTCAGGGCAAATCTATTTACCTTCTTAACAGAGCAAGCCAAAAGAAAGATAAATACACACAGAAATATAAATAGAAGTTATAATATAAACTAACAGTGGAAAACAACACAAATACAAAAATGTAATGTGTGGGTACAGATCAAAAATATTTACACTGATATTTCCCTGGCAGAAAGGAACTGATCATAGATTCCAAGGTCACAAGGGACCAGTAGGATCATCTAGCCTGACTGTGTAACACAGGCCCTAGAACTTCCCTGACAAATTTCTTTGAGCAGATCTTCTTTTAAAAACACCTAGTCTTGATTTAAAAACTGTCAGTGACGGAGAATCACCATGACCCCCAGTAAATTGTTCCAATAAGTAATTACCCTCACTGTTAAAAACTGACACCTTATTTCCAGTCTGAATTTGTCTAGCTTCAACTTCCATCCATTGGATTGTATTATACCTTTCTCTGTTACATTGAAGAGCCCATTATCAAATGTTTGTTCCCCATGTTGATACTCATAAACTGTGATCAAGTCACTTTTTTACCTTCTCTTTGTTAAGATAAATAGATTTTGCTCCTTGAGTCTATCACTGTAAGGCATGTTTTCTAATCCTTTAATCATTCTTGTGGCTATTCTCTGATCCCTCTCCAATTTATCAACATCCTTCTTGAATTGAGGACACCAGAACTGAAAACAGTGTTCTAGAGGTAAAATAACCTCTCTACTCCTACTAAAGATTCCCTTGTTTGTGCATCCCAGGATCATGTTCGCCCTTTTGGCCACACCATCTCACTGGGAGCTCATGTTCAGCTCTCTGTCCACCACAATCCCCAAATCTTTTTCACTCACTGCTTCCCAGGATAGCGTCCCCCATCGTATAAGTAAGAACTACATTCTTTGTTCTTAGATGCATAGATTTACATTTAACCTTATTAAGATGCATATTGTTTGCTTGTGCTCATTTTACCCAGGGATCTAGATCACTCTGAATCAGTGACCTGTACTCTTCATTATTTACCACTCCCCCAATTTTTGTGTCA